ACAATGAAGCGAGAAGTAAAAAAAGGATCAGATAGAACATTGTGAAGGTAACAAACGAGGCAGCCACAATAGTCGACAAGTCAGTATTATTATACATGTTAGCTAGAGGTGTAATACACCTCAGCTACTGTGCCGCAATACATAAAGGAAAAAAAGAAAATAAATGCAACAGTTGCGTGCCAGCTGAGTTACCAGCAACGGATTGGCATCGTTCCGGAAAGCTACCAGCCGGCTACTAGGCAATAAAAATTATTACATAAAATTATATGACGTTACGAACTGAGATCGTAGTTGGAGGGGGAGGCTAAAAGAGATGAGGAGAGACAAAGAAACTCCCAGCAGGAACGCCACTGAGGCCGACCCCTAGCCATGTCAGCCAGTGTATCTAGCCAGTCTTTTGGACCCCAACCAGAGAGTCGTGAGGCTCCAACCGAGGCTAGTTCCGAAGTGAGGACCTTCATTCCTCTCGACCAAGTCATCGCTTGGTCACCTCTCCTCCTCTTCCATCCACACCCCCGGCGAGCAAACAACGCATGTCGATGGGAGCCGGTGGGCTGGCATGCATAACATGTGGCTCAGCCATCGGAGCCTGGTGCGTGAAATCACGGTGCTGAGCGGTTCAGTTACATTTCTTGTGCCTAAAAAAGGCGTCGAACACGCTCGTTGCTCACGTGGTGTTCCTACCAGAGGTGAGCCAAACTGCGAAGGCATAGATATCCGAACGTAACTAGCCTCTTGATGTCCGCTGATCTAAGTGGCCAGGTTTCGCAACCGTACAGTAAGGTCGAACGTACCGCTGCAGTGTACACTCTAACCTTCAGGGCGAGTGATGCCGCGCCGCCGCCACAGATGGCGAAGACTAGGAAAAGCACCTCGAGCTGTTGCTATACGGTTCGTGATCTCATCTTCGATCCTAAGGACGCTCATACAACTTCCTAGGTAATGGAATTTTTGTACGACATCTAGCCGATCCCCATCAAGGGTCAGCTCAGGAGGCGATCCCTGCCAATCTTGGAGGAAAGCTTTGCATTTTGATGGTGCAAAGCAAAGCCCGAAGTGGCTGACAGCCAATGTTTATCTGTCCAGTGCAGCTTGGCACGTCTGGGAGCTGTCAAAGATGAGGGCAATATCGTCAGCATACTCCAAGTCAAGAAGTCGTTTTTCTGGGAGTAGCTCCACATCCTCTGAATCGTGCCCAGCGAACGCTGTTTTCATGACTTCGTCAATGGCAAACTTGAAGAGGAAAGGTGACAGTAGGCATCCTTGTCTCACACCGCTGGAGATATTGAAGGGCGGCGATAGCTTGCCGTAAGCCCTCACTCTGCCCGTGCTACGCGCATATAGTGCGCGGATAATATTTACATGCTCAGTCCCAAAGAGCACACAGATCAAAAGAATCGAAGGCACCCTTGATGTCGAGGAACACGACAACGGTGGGCCGCCAATATGTGTGACGGTGCTCCAAGAATTGACGAAAAGTGAAGATGTGGGCGATGCAGCCACGACTCCGACGAAACCCGGCTTGCTGTTCACGAATCTGGCTTTCACGAGCGCCAGTCAGTTTGTGAAGGATTACGAAGGCAAGTAATTTGGAGGCAGTGGGGATCAGACTGAGTCCACAAAGGCTGCTACATTCCGAACGCCAGCCCCCTTCGAAGATGGGAACAATAACGAAGCGGCTCCAGTCATTTGGGACAGTTCCCCGCTCCCATAGCTTTACTAGTAATTCGTGTAAATCATCAACAAGAGCAGGGCCCCCGAATTTGAAGAGGGTTGGATGAAGATCATCTGGTCCCACGGCTTTATTTAACTTCAACACTGCGATCTCACGTTCGACTTCTGAGCGAGAGGGTGGATCCAAAAGGACAGCCCAGGGAGCAGGGCGATCACTGGCCGGTGAGGAATTGAGCAATTCCGGCCGATTAAATTGCTTTTCAAAGTGCTCAGCCCAACACTCCAAAGGTTTTGATAAATAGTGGATAGGCTGTCCACTCTCGTCATAAACTGTTTCGCTAACACCAGATCTCCTGCTGCGCGTTTCACGTAACAGACGAAATAACTTTCGATGGTTACCAAGGGCAGCGAACGCTTTCATTTCTGACGCACGAAGAGACCCCCAGGGTTCGCGGTCTCTCTTCAGGCTAGCACGGAGTTTTACCCGGAGCTCTTTGTGAGTTTCGCTGTGTTCGCTTTCAGCCAGAATATGCCGGCGAAAATCGACAAGTTCCAGAGACCGCGAAGAGACCCAATGTCCACGTTGGATAGTACTTACCATATGAGGATTTGCCTGCTTCTAGTAAGGTCTGATGAACATGCAACCAGTGACGTTCGATTGTCCCCAGTGAGCGCTTACTCAACCCGCAAGTCAGCGAACATAATAATATTATTACTTTATTCCTCATGTCAGGAAATACAAATGCATGGTCGGTGTCCACACATGTGCTCCAAATCGAGCGACAGTTCTGGACGCATCCTCTTCATCGGTAACTTATTGCAATGTGATCGATTTGCATCTAAGGCTGGTGGGCGCCATGTGATCCTCCGGTGAGCGCTGTCGGAAATTAGTGCTCGCAAGAAATAAGCGGGCATCTTCACACAAATGAAGTAACCGCTTACCGTTATCATTACGGGAGCCTACACTGTGTTGACCACCCAGATGCAGTTCATCAGTGGATAACATTCCAACTTGTGTGTTCAGATCCCCAGTCAGCACAACAGTGTCCGTGCTTCTTCTGTGGAGAAGGAGCTCGGTCAGTTGGCGTTTACCGAATCAACGGTAGAGTTTGTGGGTACGTAGGCAGCGACTTCGAAGTTTTGAACGAGCCAGCCAATCGGACCGCACACATCCGGCTACTGATTGGGATCCAAGCAACCAGAGCAGCTTCAGCCCAGGGACTCAGGGCAATGCCAACACCAGGTTGGCCGGTGCTCGAAGCTGCATCGTCACAGGATAGACGCAATGAGAAAATACTACTTGAGTCACCTGAAGGAGATCGCAGAGCTCGAGTCTTGCAGGCGGGTCTCCGATAAGCAGCAGATACCGATCGAGAGGGTCTCCAATGTTCGGGCAAGTGCTGCCTGTTGACCGATCTGTAGCAATGTGCGTACATTAAGGTATGCCAATCTGAAGGAGGATCGAGGGCTCCAAATGGAAGCCGATAAACTGGGGTGGACTGCTTGGTTGGACATGGGCTTGTCGACAGGACAGGAATGACGCTCCACGTTTACATATGAGTTGAAACTAGAAGATAAACGTATAGCAAAGCATGTTGGGGGAAGGATAATAATCGGGGGGGGGAGGTTAAAAACTGTGGGGATATAAGTAAAGTTGGAACGGGACCATAAGGGTGAAAAAGTGTAAGAATAAGAATAAGAGAAGGAATAAGATGGGAAGGCTTGAGCAGTAGCATCCAAACCCTACCCACTCTGCTCGGTGCAACAGATAGGGATCCGTTCAGTATCCTCTGCGACGGCCAGAGCAACAGGAAACTGTTTGAAGAGAAATTCATTGTATTGCGTGAGCAGGATACTGTCAGGTTGCCCAGGCCTAGACAAAAGAACGATTAGGGTTCTCAACCAAAGCCTTTGGTTCAAAAACCTGACCGTAAGGCAGCGGGTTTGGCGGTGGGCTACAAGGAGTCCATCTTAAGGAATAAGGTGCCACCCTCATTCCAACCCCCAACCTGGAGGACCGGGAGGCTGAGTTTGTCTGGCCTCTATCTATTGACCAATCTGGTATGAGTGGTTCTGAAGGTAGAAAAGCACCACGCAGCATAGCTCAATGGATCTCTGAGGCACGCAAACCATCGCACCACGGTAAAGTCCAACCTCACTGCAATGGTAACCAGTCGACAAACGCTCGCCATGGATGTGGTAAAATGAATTCATAGAGCACTGTCTCCGAAATGGCGTAGACTATGAGATGACTCCGTGATTTTGAACAGCGGCCTCAATCATATACATGTGAACAATAGGCTCAAGAGAAATAAGGCCACATGAAATCATTTGGTAACCAATTGATAGTGCGTTTTGCACTATTACGGTAGGCTGAATGTCGCTGTCAGATGGTTCTGAATGCAGAGGCAACCACTTCCAAACGAGAACAATAACCTCAAAGAACTCGAGGATGCGAATCTTGTATGCATGAGGACGGTGAACGATATACCGTGATTGCTGTTGTGGCTTTGCTTTTCGACTCGGTTGTACATTGAGATGCGCTTCACGAATCGGACACATTCCTGACGAGTACAAACAGTCAAAATGATGCGGCACATTCACAAACACAAGCTACACAGCTACATTCATACACAATTGGTTAGCGACATCCGGTTTCGGATTTGCTTGTCACTGTGGTCAGCCACATACGTATAGACACCCATACGCACATTCGCTGCAATATCAAACATGTATTCTTGTACATTTTTGATCACGCTGTGTTAACAAGATCATGCTTGTAAAGATGTGTCTCGCATTGTCGGAAATAAAAGTTTATTTATTCATTTAGTTATAAGATGACTTTTTACAAGCGAACAATAAGACATAAGTTGCATCGATGTTGTTGGCTTCACATAAGCAGTGGTCTTGTCGACACGAACGACCGTATGCGTTTTTGGCGAAGGGTTTGTCCGTTAAGCGATGTCTTTCATGGTATTGTCACCATTGAACGGTAAATCAACAATAACGGCTTTTTTTTGAACAGTTGTCACTCGGTCACAATTCATTGTGGCACAGTAGCCGAGGCGTTGCGGCACAGTAGCTGAAGTGTTCCCAACGTGTATAGCGTGTATACTGATGATGATAATGGTCACGATTCGTCGTACACGGAAGTGTTTTATGAAGTACGACAGGCAGGCGTTGGCTGCAGCGAGCATAAAAGTGAGTTATCTCCATATGGTTGTTGATACGGAAAGCCCTCAAAAAGTAACAAGTTTAAAGGGAAAAACAACCAACATAGAGGCCAAAAGGAAATAAAATAAGCGCACCAAGCGAGAAATACTCACCCCCAAGCACGAACTGAGCCAGACATACCGAAGCCCGATTGCCAACGTCGGCCAGAGTAACTCGATATGCGGCACTGGCGTAGCGCAGATATGCTGTGAAAACATGGCAATAGAGAAGTGATTAGTAGATCATGAAATGAAGACGACGAAGCCTACGTAGGACAGGTTTACCGCGTAAGGTCAGAAATGGCCGGTGTGGTGTTCGGCCCAGGGAGTGTGTAGCAGTGGCCGCTCGCAGAAGCCGAGTACAACAGCGAACATGCCAATCAAAAACTCGGCCGCTGGCCGAAGAGGAGGGTGCCTGTCGTGTAACCCTAAGACCATCGATTGGAAGCTGTGTAGGCGAAGAAGACCTCGCAGTATACTCGGCTATCGCACGGCTGGCGGTGGTCGCGAACCGCCGGTACGGTGTACCGGTGCACTGCTTGTGCCAATTTCATGTCGGGCTAGACAATCGTCTGGAATAGACGAAGAAATGTAACGGCCTTTCAAGACCCTTCGCACCCAAAAGGAGAAAAAGGGACACAACCTCAGAGGACCTCACTAACGAGCGGCATCAACCAAGAAGGGCGTCACTTGAACAATAGTGTATCAGCTGATACAGTAAGGTCTGTTGCCAAATATCTGATGATTAACTTCAGGGTCACTCAATCGGCTCTCGTCAGGAAGAAATGATTCTGTAGTGTGCCTCAGCTACTACTTTAGAGCAGAGGTAATATGAGTCAGTTACATAGGAACAAACTGACGGAAGCGCTTGGTGGCCAGGAGCAACTAATGGAAAGCGCGAACTTCAGATTCAACCAATGAGAGCAAGAGATGTGCCAAGCAATTTTAGAAGGAATATTCAGTAAGGTCGCAAAACACGCAAAACAATCAGAGCCATTATACTGCTATGCTAGCCACATTAAAAACTGACGGCCAAGATCATGGTCTTACGAAGTGACGAGCTAGAATACGCAGCACGCATATTCTGTCACCTACAAGAACAAAGCAGTTCTCCCACCAAGTAGGAGTAGGCGATCAAACACACTCCAACTCTTATTGTTTTCTGTGAGTAGCTGTCACAGAAAGGTATCAGCACACTGTACCGACGCTTCGCTACCACGCTACAACCAACAGTTGCGCGTGGACTGAGTATACCGCGAGGACGCCAGCACCTATGACGATTCGCACCGATGACTTCTGGAGTACGAGAAGAGCGCGTAATCCTTCCGGCCACCGGTCGAACACAGCTGTAACAACCATCTGGTAAACAAAATTCAGCGCTATGCTTGGTTCATTCTGAAAATGTGCAGAGAAATTTAGAAATCAAGCACCACGAAAGCAAACCGATGAGGTAAACGAAGATGCGAATCATTATGTGCCTCAGTGATGGCAGAAACCAACCTGAATCGGATGACTTGGGAGTAACCCATTTGATACTTAATGTCCTGGAGAAGCCAGAATTTGGACGTTGCAAGGTGGGAAGCGCGTTTATATCGTCATTTGCGCCGACCTCGGTGCGAATAGTCAACTGATCTGCCAAACCAACGAGTCGCAGTAGATCATGAGCTTCGGCACGATGCAATAGCTCAACACCGTACATGGCACTGCTGGAACTGGTGTTCGCCTCCTCCTTCATGGGGATGTCTTGGACGAGCGTACTGGCCAGATTATAGTGTAACTCCGCTAGTCGAACTAGACCGCGGTATAAATCGGTTGCGTTAGCTGGCAATTGAAGGTAGAAGAAGTGGTGCGGACCCCGATTTGATGACTGAAATACAGAAGGATCGTTAGAATTGATAGAAATAGCGAAAAACGAAGATCGGAACTGCATCATAAGCTTGTGTCCTCAATAGTTATATGCTAGAGGAAGCCAAACTACTGACGCAAACTACTCACTAAGATCTAGTCTTGATATTACTGAGTTTAGTGTCAGATATATCCAAAAAACCGAGGTTACGAATAGAGCAAGCAAAGCTGAGTTTCTCTACTAAAAACTAAGAAAGGTGAAAAAAGAGAAGCAGAAAAAGGAAAAAAAACAACCAAAGTGATCAAAGACAGAAGAGTCCAATTGAACGATTTGTGGTTAAAAGTGAACATAACGAAGTGACTGACAGTGCACCCGTCCACACAGCGTGATGTCAGTGGCGAAAAATTAGACAGGCAAGGTAAAACCCAGCAGGGGAAATGAGATGTCCCAACGCGATTAGGGTTTTCAGTAATACTACTTTTTTGTCACATGAAGTAAGTCCGGCCATGAGACGGATGATTAACAGGAGCGAAGAGATTAAGACTCAACCAATGAGTTGTACACCATGATCCCCAAGCTACCACTTCAAGTGATTAACAGCTTGTCGGCCCAGTGACATTGTCTTGAGTACAGAGGATGCTGCGGTGTATAGCATTATGCCACCTGACAGCGCTTATAAATGGCATGAGTTCCATCCGTCCACACGTTTCCAGTTCGTGAGTTGGTTGAGCCTTAGCTCCAGACCCAATCAATGAGCTGAACATCACATTCCCCAAACTATCTTTTCAAATAATTGACAGCCTGTCGGCCAAGTAACACGGTCTCGAGTACAGAGGATGCTGCGGCGTATAGCATTTTGCCAACTGACAGTGCCTATGCATGACATGAGTTCCACACATTTCCAGTTGGTTAGTCGGTTGAGCCTTGCCATCAGAGGAGGCGGCTAAGAGATGGCGGATCAGGATCAGCTGCATAACAAATTAAAAGTGTAAAAACAGCCCATATTTGACGCACCCAATTTAGTGGTGAGTTCGAAACAGTGCTGCTTGTAAACCGTTATAAGGCCCCGAGAATTAAGACATATCTACTGAAGAACAATGAATTTAGCTGGCCATCACTTAAACATAGATGCCGACACAAATTGATGATTATTGGACCAAAGAAGATTACCGTGACAAGCCATCTGAAGGTGCGGCGTTGTTCTATGGTCTCAAGAACTGTTGAAATATGGTAAAAACATCACTTAGTAAGGTAAAAACAAAAGTGGCTCGTGGTGGAAGATACTTATTTGGGACATAATGCTTGTGAACAGTTTGTAGCTGATACCTTTGACAATGGATACGAAGATGTCGGGTCGCAACCGACGCCTTCATCACACGACCGCAAGAACTCCGGGAAGGACTTGTATGCATCAAATCACACAGGTTTTTATGGTTTTGAAAAGGTTTTGTGGGGAAAACTACTAAAATACATTTGAGCCACCAAAACAAGGAAAAAGCTAAACGCAACAAGCAAATGAGAAGATGTGGAATGAAGAACGAATCACTTATGTCCTTGGAAATGGTATTATGGTACCCAAAAAGTAAACTGAACATCCATTCACAACGACCGGTGCTAACCAATAAGAATAATGAAATAGGGTCTTTAAACAAGGGTCACGAAACAGGCCATAAGAAGGAATTCAAACCCTGAAATTAAGAACTACTACAAAATGTATGTCAACTAAACATTAGCTTAACATAACCAGATAAAAATTTAAGAGTCAAAACCAATCAGATAGGTTCGTGAAAATAACGCTGTTGAAAGTAATACGTAAGGTGAATGCCCATTAATAACGACGTGCGCCTGCCCATCTGATTACCAAAGTGGGACGTTTAAACAACAGTCAAGAGGTAGATGATAAGAGGTGTGAAAAACGGCAACTAAGATCGTTCACAAAATGATTGTCAAATAGATTCTACAAGCAGAAAGTAACGAGAAGTCCAGTCACTTTGCTAAACGTTGTGAATGTCTACTAGCAACATATGTGGTTACGCAAAGAGGACAGAAAGGTCATAAATGTAACGCCGATTAATACTAATAAACACCGATGCAGGTTGCGAGGACCGGGTGCTCTTGCTCAGCCTGTGTCAGAGCAGCTCATTCCAGATCCGATAGGTCACCCACACGGTCAGAAGACCGCATTCATAGGAGAGCTGAAAGTTGCGCGCGTCATAAATATAATAACACACCATCAGCTACAGGAACAGCGACAACCATACTTATGACAACCGCAGCAGAACGGGAGTCGTTTTTGGCCGAGTGGAACGCGCTAGCTTGAAGCGCATACCAACAACGCGTAAAAATGTTAAGGTTTCGTTACTGTGAAGTATGACACCGATCAAGGTGATATAAGGGACGCTATCTCACGAGTTCCTCAAGCAACGGTTGCTCGGCATCCCGTTTTCTTAGCATTGTGATCGAAATGAGTACGAATGACTTCTTCCCCTCGGTTACTTTGGGAATCGAAGTTCTACCGAACAACTAACTGGCAAGCATGGAGAACTTAAACGCTTCGGTAAGTGTTTCGCATCTTTTTAATAAAAAAGCACCGTTGAAGAATGAGTCTACAAATCACCGATCCTAACTATCATTGAACACGGGTGCTGAGCAACGAGTGGGCGACAATGAAGTTCTCCGCTATTATACCGCGTTGTCAGTTGAATTCGAGTAGCTTACGTTAGCTGACTGGTCCCTCGTACGCATATCTATCGCGTACAAAATTATGCATCGTTTGCTCTTACTGCACCCAGTTGGATGAAACCGAGGGATAGACAACAGAGGACGTAACAAAGGTATAAACAAGTTGACTGAAATATTCGTTTGTGCGCGTGTGTCGCTTTGGTGAATTGGATACTCGAAGCCGGCAGCATCAGTGCATGGAGTTTACATCCAATATACTGTAGTGCCGCAGTTTCGGATGTCACTGTATTCGGTTTCATGTATCTAGTCGTTAGTATTTCAAGCCAAAATTTTACAAAATTATTGTCTACCCCTCTTTTCCTTGGGTTATATTTTTCGCTCACAACAAAAAGGCAAACGCGCCAGCAGTGTGCCGGTCCTCCGTACGGATGCCTCAATGTTACACAACCATAAACAGTCGCACCTGCGCTGGGTATTCGGCAAGGCCACTCGTATCTATGCGGATTCAAAGCGGTAGCCTCCAGGGTACAATGCAAGCGCTTAAACCTTTCGGCCACCGGCCGACAACCTCACCATCGATACGAGACACAAGGCACACGGGTGTCAAGAACACGGTTGCTAAAGCCAAGTGAACACAAGGATTGTACTGTAAAATAGTGCATGTCAAGTCACACTCGTGTCCCGGGTGAAGTATCCGACTTTTGGAGAGCATTCGAATCTAACAGCGATCGTGAAGTAATGGTGCGTATTGTTGCTTCGAGGTCAAACACAGGAGTGAAGTAAAACCTAATGCAGGATATGAAAGCGGTAAATCAAGCGCTACCAGAGGGATAAAGCGTCTACAACATCCGAACATTACACAGCCACAGGCCGATCGTGAGACAACTTACCCGTGGCCTCCAACAATCCGCTACAAAACAAACCTAAGTCTACAATTCAGTCAGCACTATACAGACGCTAAACAGGTACCCGGTTAGGTTTAACAACTAAGAACTGTGTACAGAAATGCGGTGGATCCAGATGCCATAAAGGGTCAGAAATGAGGTTGAATAGCAAAAAAATGCAAAATATGAAAGTAAGAAACAAATGCGTTAGACTAATCAGAATTAAACGAAAATTAACAACCAGATGCAAAAAGCCGAATGCGGGAACGTCACTGACTTCGTGACTGAGCCACGTGTTATAGGAACTCCAACTAATTATGTGACCAAACCCGACGTCCCTATCTATGAAGACCCATACACCACACTGACCAAGTCTCTCAATCAATTTCTTCAGGCCTTTATGGTACGACATGGATTGGCCACCTCGTAGTTTCGCCAAACTTGGTGTAGCCACGGCGTATAGGGCATGTCGAAGAAGTCGGTCAACGGGCATACGTAGAACATGGCGTAGCCAACGTAAGCGATTAAGATTCAGCAAATAACCGAGTGAGGCACTACAAGGCTTCTTGGCAAAAAGCAACTGGCGGACCACAGCGTTGTTCACCGGTGTTATCACAAGACGTGAGCAATACTCCGCAAAAACAGGAGTCCTACATGGTCAAGAGACTAATGTCCTCAATGCGAACTGGTCACGTCTCTGGTCTATACAAAAACACCGGCCTTATCTCAGCGTTATACACCCTACCTTTCACTGACCGGGTGATATCCCGCCGTCTCCATAGATGGTTGTGCTTCTGAAAAGCCACACGGGCCTTGCTAATAGGCGAAGTACCTTCCTCAGTGATTTGACCACCACAGATGACTGAGCTACTAAGGTACGTAAACCGATCCACCATTTCCAGTGGTTGTTCGGTGATAGCTAGAACCGGACGTGTGTCGGTCCAATCCTGTAGCAGTACTGTGCACTTTGGAGGTGCAAAGCACATACCGAAGCGTGCGGCGCTACGCGTCAGTCTGTGCACTAATGTTTGCATAGACAAAGTATCAGACCCAAGGAGAGCTGTCATCCGCATACCCCAGGTTTGTCAGCCGGTCGTCTGGCAGAACTGTCACTGCTGTAGAGTCCGAAAGAACCGAGTCACTCCTGGTTATTTACATCACAAAGTTAAAGAGTCACAGTCTGTG